TCTCTCTCTCTCTCTCTCTCTCTCTCTCTCTCTCTCTCCCTGTCTCTCTCCCTCTCTATCTCCATCCCTTCCTCCCTTCTTCTCTCACGCTCTCTTTCTCTCTCCCTTCTCTGCATCCCCTTCTCTAAAGACTAGACCCTCTATTTAGACTAGCTGTAATCTAAAATCAGTGTTTTCCTCTCTTTCTCTCTCTCACACACAGCTCCTCTGGGTTTCAACTGGAAGCTCGCCTGTGCAAAGAGAGAGTACCAGCACGAGCTGTGGAGCCATGGCGGCATGGAACGCTTCACTCTCACCGAGGGACACTATGCCTCTGTTGACGCGATCCATCTAATGAACGTGCGAACTCCTTACGATAGCTGATGACTCGATTTGCTTCACAACGAGTAGTGTAGTCTTCACAGTATGAGGTTTCCGAGTATTAACAGCATGACCCGAGCCTATTTTCAGCAGTTTTCTTAAAACCTACTGCTTTTTAGTAATAATATGACCTTGATGGTTTGTGTCAGCACTGTTGATCTTATCTTGGGAGATAATGGTTGCCGTGAGTGTTGCTGTCTTCATTCAGCTGTGCAGATCAAGTTAGCCAGCCAACACATTTTCTTATCTAGGTTATCTAACTTTATAGCTCATTATTGAGTTCATCAAAACCAACATGGGATAGTGCTGTGCATCTACATCCTCTATAGATGGTCAGGGGGACTGTTGTCAAAAAGAAAATTAGTCCTAATATTATTTATAACATAAACTGTGTCCTATAGACCGGACCTCTATACACTGCATATAGGAAACTGAGAAACTCGTAACTTTAGCATATTTCTGTCAACTGTCTATGAGAAAAAGTTAATGTCACGACTAATGTTGTGGCCAATTTTGTTTTTGGCAATGGGCCCAGGCCTCCAGTACACACTATAGGCACACACTGTATCACCTGTAGGTTGAATCACTGGTGTCATATATGAGTAGGTGAAGCAGGTGCTGATATGCACGTTCCACCCTGTTGTAGCGTGGCACCATGTGTTTGTCAGGGTCACGGGACAAACAGCTGACCATGTGGAATCTCCAGGGCTTGGACAGCAATAATCCACACTATGCTACTGAAGCCAAGGCAAAAAGTGTCATTGATGCACATAAGGTAAAGCTTAATCGTGTGTAATGTTTACACATAACTTCGAATTATACAAAATTCATTTTTTCGACAGGTCGATCACCTGCGTGATAATAATCACTGTTTCCATGTATCGTTAATTCGAGGAGTTACGGTTGGCGATTATTGTCACCTTTAATTTAGAAGTCAGTAATTGCCTCATTTGTCTGAAGTGAACGATAGGTAGATCTAGCCAATCAGCATTGTGATGAAGGCATTCTATAACGCTGTGTAGTAACGAAGTGATGGGCCGTACAGTCGGAAATTCGGCGGGCACACGCTTAATGCGCATACAAACTGGTCTACCTTGACCGAGCAAGCAGGAATACCCGGAATGAGACATGCCCATCGTATAGATCTAAGGTCAACGGCGGATCACCGAACGGTAATTTTTTAATATGGTCGGTGAATTTACGCGCCAGGGTTGGATCTGGTCGATCACGTCATGTGAGAACGTCGTCTGCACTGGATCGTGGGATAAGGACGTGAAGTTGTGGGATGCTGGAGAAAACCTGCGGGAGACGATGCGCCTTAGGTAACGATGCTCATATCTCCAACGCGCCACTTCTTCCTCTTCTCATGCCCTTCCCTCCTGCGGGTCTAGTGCTGTTGTCATTCACAGAGAAACAGTGAGCGTGTTTCAGGTGTGAGTGTCAGTCCGGTACCCAAGGGGGGTTCCAGGGGTTTCGGAACCCCCCATCCATCAAAAAATAAATATATGGTAAAAATATTAATGAAAATAATTTCAATTTTACATTCATGTATATTTATGTATAATGATAATAAATAATATAATATTAATAATATATTTTATCCAGAAGAAAACTGTTAAAATATGCCATTTCGCCAAAGATTTTATACAATAAACCGATCTATCCATCTTCACAAATCCATGGCAACTCTCAGGCCTATACCCAAGATTGGCCAAAAGGTGGGGTTCCAAATCAGAGGTGTGCAGGTGACTATGAGGGCCAAAGGCGAGAAGCGATGTTAGGCGGGTCCGGGAACATGACCCCAAGGAAAATTTTGAAAAATTGCTTTGAAATGGTGCATTCTGGTGCAGTAATGTAGTTAGACATTGTGAAACTGAAGTTGTTTATATCTACAGGAGAGGTTTTATGGTATACTAAGATTTTCGAAAGAGTTTGTAACAAGATAGTGTATAGTGTATAGGTTTCAAGCGAAGATGTTACATAAAACAGTGTTATGAGAAGGAATGTCTGCAAGAACGCTTTGCGTTGCGTGGGCAAACATGACGCAGGGTTTAGTTTGCAAGGTGTGGCAGCTAATCTTGCTCATTAACCACAGAAGTATTTTATTGTCGGTGGGACGATGTGTTCGGGACGGCTATGCCTTCATCTGTCTCATTCGCTGCCCCCAGCTGTATGTGAGTGTGTGCGTGCGTGCGTGCGTGCGTGCGTGCGTGCGTGCGTGCGTGCGTGCGTGCGTGCGTGTGTGCTACAGCTGAGCCTTCCCTCCTCACGCGCTGACGCTGAGAGTTGTATGTGTTTTTGTGTGTGTGATTTCAGAGGCAAGTCTGCAGTGCTGTGCACGGCGCTGCGTCCTGATATCTTATCCGTCGGCAGCTTCGACAAGCACGTGACCACCTACGACCCGAGAGCAGGTGAGCTATCTCCAACGTTGTCCTACGCAACCATGCATGAATGCCAGCCACACGTGACGGGCACGGTTTATCCGTGACATATACAGCGGTGTTGTTTGTGTGGCTGTTTTGTGCTAGTGCGTTTGTTCGTTGCTGGGTTTAATGCTGACCCACAGGTTTATTTACTCTGGAAACAATGTTGGTCTTTGCGTAGATTGTTCATTGTTTAAGTAGACTCTTGGAAGAATAGTTTTCATCACTCTCCAATAAGGTGGCCCTCTTTTGATGGGCACATCTGATTGGCAATCTTCCAAGATTTTGTGGCCAGCGCTTATCCCACGCAATGCTAACGCCATCTGTAGTTAGAAGACGTTGCTTAGCCATTTTAAGTCGTGTCTCAGGGGTTGTCGTCCATGATATATCCTGCTCTTGTGAATGTTCCTAAATAAGGGTACTCTGCAACCAAACAGCTGGTCTACCACACGAAGCCAGTGCTGTGCATGGCAGTAGATGACCAGTACATCATAAGCGGCAGTGAGGACCGGACGGTGGCCGTGTATGACCGCAGAGCTGACAAACTCCTACGTACTGTCGAGGTACGCAGTCTTGCCACGAGACACACATCCACATGGTTCTCAGCCATGTGTTTCCTGTCAATTCGTCTACACATCTCTACATTGTATTTATAGTGATAGTAATCGTAGTAATAATAATTACTACTACTTCCTAATTATTATAATAGCTAATTATATGTTTTGCTTTGTTGAACTAATGAAGTTCTGCATCATATTCTTTCAGTTGCCTAACTTTGTGATGTCACTGTCATACAAGTGGCACCATCTCTGGGTAGGAGATAGAAGTGGGCAGATTCATCTCATTGACTCAACAGACTTTACATTCGTTGATGTAAGTACTGCTTTGGAATTGGCTTACAGACCATTGCCTTTATAGTCACGGAACTGTTGCCAAAGCTGTTGCTACTGCTGCTTCTGCTTTGCTGCTGTTGTTGTTGTTGTTGTTGTTGTTGTTGTTGGTGCTGCTGCTGATGGTGGTACTACTACTACTGGTGCTCTAGGCTTCTTCTCACTACCATGTATGGCCAGGGGCCCGTTGCCAGAAAAAAATTAGTCTTAACATTAACCTTAACATTAACTTTTTCTCTTAAAGCGTTGCCAGAAACTTCGTAAAGTTAAGAGAATTAAAAATTCTCGTAACTTTTCTCTTAACTTAAGAGATCCTAGACCCTCCCTTAACTATAATATTATGTTGAAAATAACACATTTACACTACGAATTACAATTATAGTGATATTATCTTTTATAATAATGAATAAAATGTGTGTTTTTCTTGAAAAACACGTCAAAATCATTAATTATCTACCGCTAATAAAACAAAACAATACATTTACAAATGACGTATGGCATTTGTTCTCTTGTTTTAAAGGTTTGCAACGCTTGCCACGATTTTCGCGTCTCGCGTTACAGTGTGAGAATTTGTCTTGTTGTGCAGAATAAATTCATGACCACGTAATTTTTCATCAAATATTATTTATATGTGGTTAGCCATCATAATATGCATAAATTACTGTGATGTACAGTAAATGTGTATGAATTTGAATTTTGTGATCGATTCTCATCCAATCAGCAGCCTTGTGACATGAAATTATGAAGTTCCTGTTATCGTGAGTTTTCACTTAAGTAAGTTTAGTTTAAGTTGGTTTCTGGCAACGCTATTAAAATTAACCTTAACATTAACATTAGACTTAAAATTAATCGTAAGTTTACGAAGTTTCTGACAACGGGCCCCAGGTCTTTAAAACTTAAAACATTTCTTTTAGTTCGATTTCACATTTACAAAACCTGGGGGGATATGGCAACCTTTCTATATGGCTTTCTTCATTTTATTCATCCTAATTCAATCTTATTTGGAATGCCTATGTAATGATTTGACATACTAATCATGTGTATAGGGGATACACAGCAACTATCCCTAATATATCTTACACGTATGCATGTTCCTGTACTGGGCTTTTTACGTTTGTTATGCCTTATTCCACATAATATGCAGTACAGCAGCCTACGGGTGGTGTCGTAGTTCATATACGGTCAATAGGTTGCGTGTTGCATAGCAACTTGCGTCAATGCATACTCATGTATTATAAGCTTATGGGTGCTCTCTGGCTACAGACATGTACACACACTGGTACGTAGTGAAGTACTTTACATGTAAGGTGCATGTAAATTACAACAGTACATTGTGTAGACTACGCTACATAATTTCGTTTTGATCAAGATTGTGAAAAAATACTTTATTTCTTCTCTTGTTGTTCTTTTTCTTGTTTTTATTGTTCTTCATCTTCTTCTTCTTCTTTTTCTTTTTTTTCTTCTTCTTCTTCTCTTTTTTCTTTTTCTTTTTCTTCTTCCTCCTCCCACTCTTCTTCTTCTCCTTTTACAAAGTACTGACACCTCTTTCATACAGTATCAACCCATATGGCAGTTTATGCAAAAGAAAGTCAAAGTGGCTAATTAAAGATTTTCTTTGTATTTCATTTGTAAAACTTATGTATAGTGCAGAGTTGAAAAGAAAGCCTGTCCCTGTCATTTTACCGTAAACGCATCTGCTGCACTTTCACACTTCATACTCTTCGTTGATAACTGTGCAATCGTGTAGTCGACAGTGAAATTGCCGAATTCAATTGCATTTATTAAAACTAATCAAAATTTCACATCTCGCTGTCAATTTCATTATCGTTAAACGTTTCGGTTAAAAAAATACCCACAACTTGTTTTTTTCATTGCCACTTGCATGCACCCTGGAACGCGCTGTCGTTTCAGCAAGGGGCTAGATAACAGAACACACAACGAGATGCATAATATTTACCCCTGCCCCGCCCGCAGACGTACGATGTGGGACACACGAACAAGGTCACAGGCATAAAGTTTTCACTGGGCGCCCTCGTCACGTGCTCGACGGATAAGTCCATCCGCGTGCTGACGCCGACTGAGTGTCCGACAGTGATGCACATACTGCATAGCGACCATGACAGTGATATTTCGGCGGTAAGTGTGCGTGCTAGCACCATCTCTCTCCTCTCGGGTGCAGCAGTAACCATAGCTACTCGCTTACCTGGTATGCACAGAGCTGCCCCCTCGTATCCATGGCGATACAACCTCGTATCCATGGCTATGCAGCATCGTATCCGTGGCAACGCCGCTTCGTGTCCGTGGCGACGTCACATCCTACATGTTGATAGTCTCAGGTCTCGTGAGTGACCGGTCGCAATGATGCCTGACTGATGGAAAAATATCGGCCGCAAGCTATCTCGCTTATCTACCGCTCTATTTTTCCTGGGTTCTGCAGCAATCGAAGCTAAACGTGTCATAGTAGCCAGCTGTGGTGACGCGAGATGTCAGGCGTAGGCGTGCTATCTCTCCTAGGTTGATAAAACTGTGACACATTTTGTGATTGTTGTTGCGTCGTGTGTCCTGTTTGTGGGTGACCTCTGATGGATTAGTTATTTGTAACTAGTTTTTTGGCACAGAATTAGCGATGAAACTGTATATAATAGTCACTTGAGAGAAAAGCCAAATGTCCTTTTCATAGAAATACGTCCGTTATATGGGGAGGTCCCTGTATAACTGTCACTCAAGGGAAATGCAAAATGTGTCTTTTATAGACAAATGGCTCTTCTATAGGTGGTATTCGCAGACACAGATTTGACTATCCGTAGATGGACTAATAACTAGATTCTTTTGGCTTGCCAAGTGTGTTGTGGTTTTGCGTGTGAATTCCACTTTATTGCTCGTCAACTTGTCATGGTTGTCTAGGTTAATACAGCTTTATTTCTGGTTTACGCGTAGTGACCATGAATTCTGATTTATGTGTCACAGTTATGCATGTGAATTCGGCTCCAGTCGAACTTCCGTTCTGATTTCATTTCAGATTGACTTGCAGAATGACGTGTTGGTGAGCGCGTCAGGAGAGACGACTGTCACCGTGTGGAAACCACGCCCCTAAACTTAGCCTCCCCGTCTGGGACGGCAACCAAGCTCCTAAACATAGGCTCAATACGTGGAAACCACACCCCTAAGATAGCCACACCCATGAGTGAACCATGCCTCTAAGATGGCTTTACTTGTCAGCAAGCCACACGTGGGTATTTTTTTTACCTGTGTGGAACCCTTACCTGAGTGGAAACGTCACCTGTGTAGGAACCTCGCCTGTGGTACAGCCTCATCTGTGTGACAGCCTCAGCCTGTGTGACAGCCTACCTGTGTGACAGCCTCAACCTGTGTGACAATCTCACCTGTGTGGACAGCGCTCAACCTGTGGTAGAGCCTCACCCTGTGTGAAATCTCACTGTTGTGACAGCTCACCTGTGTGACAGCCTCACCTGTGTGACAATCTGCAGCGCTGGTGAAGCCTCACCTGTGTTGACAGCCCTCACCTGTGTGAGCGCCTCACTGTGGTTACAGGCTTCCCTGGGTGACCAGCCTCACGTCTGTGTGAGCAGCCTCACCTGTGTAGAACCATCGGCCTGTTGTGACAATCTTTGTGTGTGACAATCTCACCTGTGTGACAGCTCACCTGTTAGAACCATGCGCTGTGTGACAAGCTATCTGTGTGACAATCTGACTGTGTGAGCACTTCACCTGTGTAGAACATCACCTGTGGTACAGTCCTCACCTGTGTGACAGCCTCACTGTGTAGAACCATCACCTGTGGTACAGCCTCACTGTGTACAGGCCTCCCCGTGTGTGACAGCCTCCTGTGTGACAGCCTCACCTGTGTGACAGCCTCACCTGTGTAGAACCTTGCCCTGTGTGATCAATCTCACGCTGTGTGACGCCTCACCTTGTGTGAGCAGCCTTCACTGTGTGAAATCTCAGCCTGTGTGACAGCCTCACCATGTGTGCATCTCAGCTGCTGTGACAGCTCACCTGTGTGACAGCCCCTTGTGGTGACAGCCTCATCCTGTGTGAAGCCTCACCTGTGTGACAGCCTCACCTGTGGTACAGCTCACCTGTGGTACAGAACATACCTGTGTGCAGCCTCACCTGTGTGACAGCCTCACTGCTGTGTTACAGGCCTCACCTGGTGTGACATGCCTCACCTGTGTGTACAGCCTCACGCTGTGTGACACATCTACCTGTGGTACAGCAGTCACCTGTGTGACAGCCTCACCTGTGTGACAGTCCTCAGCCTGTTTGACAGGCCTCACCTGTGTGACAATCTCACCTGTGGTAGGCAGCCTCAACTGGTGTGACAGCCTACTGTGTGCACAGCCTCACCTGTGATGACAGGCCTCACCTGTGGACAGATCTTAATGTGGTTACAGCCTCACTGTGGTAGGCAGCCTCACCTGTGTGACAGCCTCACCTGTGTGACAATCTCACCTGTGTAGAACCCTCGCCTGTGTGACAATCTCACCTGTGGTACAGCCTCACCTGTGGTACAGCCTCACCTGTGTGACAGCCTCACCTGTGTGACAGCCTCACCTGTGGTACAGCCTCACCTGTGTGACAGCCTCACCTGTGTGACAGCCTCACCTGTGGTACAGCCTCACCTGTGGTACAGCCTCACCTGTGTGACAGCCTCACCTGTGGAGAAACCTTACCTGTGTGACAAAACCTTACTTGTGAACAAAACCCCACCACTATAGAAGTGTGTCCTGTCAGAGTGTCACTTCACTGCCCACGCTCGTGATATGTGTGTTCAACATCTAACACTCGTCTATCAGCGACTGTCTACTGTCGTGTATGTGTCGTGTGTTCGTTGTCACCGATGCCGCCGATGACACACTGTGCGTGACGCATCACAATATTACACGAATTAAGCTGTTATTTTCACATATGAGGACATGCTGAGGATTAGGGTCAATGTGCTGCAATGGTCGTACAGACTGATATTTATGTGAGTGTTTTTGTGATCAGCTGCACAAGTCATGCTTCCTCTTCTTATAGGCAGAGTACACAGTGACGTGCGTCCCTGCAGTGTATTATCGTACTCTGGGAGGAGTAGCTGACTCTATGTGCAGGGACTTGCGTTCCTGCAGAGTATTGTAGTACTTTGGGAGGAGTAGCTGACTTTATGTACATGGACTTGCGTTCCTGCAGAGTATTGTAGTACTCTGGGAGGAGTAGCTGACTCTATGTGCAGGGACTTGCGTTCCTGCAGAGTATTGTAGTGCTTTGGGATGAGTAGCTGACTCTATGTACATGGACTTGCGTTCCTGCAGAGTATTGTAGTACTCTGGGAGGAGTAGCTGACTTTATGTACAGGGACTTGCGTTCCTGCAGAGTATTGTAGTACTTTGGGAGGAGTAGCTGACTCTTATGTGCAGGGACTTGCGTTACTGCAGAGTATTGTAGTACTCTGGGAGGAGTAGCTGACTCTTATGTGCAGTGACGTGGGACACTACAGAGTGTAATATTGTATGTGATGCGTGAAGCATACATTATAAATATTAAAACGAGCTCACGGGTTATGCATAATTGATAAAATAGGCAGATATATTTATTGCGATGTCATCGCTACTCGTTGCAACGTGTGGCCATGCAAAACATTTTCAATTTGGTGGTCGAGTCGTATTCTGGGGGCAATAAAATAATATTTGCAGGCCTTCTATATGATTGAGGGCCTCAATATTTACTTTACCATTACAGCCTTTGCAAGTTATTAAATGCTTGTGTAGTAGTCGTAGATATATATTTAAACACGTGTTTACATAACATGTATAACTTCCGTTACATAGGGCCTATACCACAACCTTTTACCTATAACCTTTGTCTTTCACCCGTGCTGTTAGCTGCAGGTTGATGCGGCCATACTTGGAAAAAAACCACGCAAGGTTACGTTAATGATACAAGAGTGTGATTTTATTTTTTCGTCACTGTGAATCTCTCCCTATACACGCACGCACACACGCACGCACACACGCATGCACGCACGCCTCACCTTACCAGCGATAGGGGGCGTAGCGGTGTGTAACGTGTGTTTATTAGTAGCATCACGTATAGAGTATGCCATACCCAGACAACGTTGCCCGGCTGGTGGAGAGCATCCGTGGTGCTTCAGTTAATTAATTGTATATCTAGTTAATTATTAATTGAATAATATCGAATTAATTGTAAGTGACTTACTTAGAAATTGTTACGCAAAATGCTGGATGTGGACGCATTGCTTCACGCATCGTAATTGGATACGCACGCACGCACGCACGCATACACATACATACACTAGCGCGCACACGCACACGCACACGCACACGCACACGCACACGTTTACACACACCCACGCACACACACCCATACACATGCGCGAACACATACACGCACACGCTCATACACACGCGCACACGCACGCACACAGATTCCGGTGTTTCTCAGTTCTAGTGGGAAACGTCCAGTGTTGATGATAGGCTGGAGTCGTTAGCCTTTGACTTGCCGTAATCGAACTACTGCGAAAACATACCTCTGGAAACATTAAAGTGGTAAATTCGTTATATCAGGAGTCTATCAATATTGATAGACTCCTGGTTATATCACTGTACGTACTAGCAGATATGGCTGAATTCATCTGAGAATTTTAGCTGCTGTTTCGTGGATATTCGCAAAACAATAGAAAACAACTATTTACCTTGAAATGTCTTATGCGTTTCATCCTGGTTATGCACGGCAATGTACGTATATGAAATGTTTATTTATATATTTTTCCAATAATCTGTAAAAGGAAATTCGTTTGCAGCCGACTGTTCAATAACATTAACAAAAAATATGTGATTGGATGTCGGGATCAATTTTAATGCAGCAACATGTGTTCAACGTTCAGGTTGTAATTTGTAAGTTCGCGTTAACGTACCAATCGTATTTAAAGGGAAGTCGCGTGTCATTGACAAAAAGGTAATCCCGTATATTATTATTATTTACATAATATTTTCTTCTCGTGTTCTATACTATGTTCTGTATTCTAGTCTCGTATGTAATAAATCTTTTTGCCCAACGTCACGAACGCTTTAGACGTTTTAGTCCGACGAGTTCAACAGTGAGCGTGTACCGTCTTACCGTTCGTTTTTGATTTGCGAAATTAACGTGAATGTCCGTATTTTTATAGTTATAGTATTGACGGGTGTTCCGCACGTTGTTAATTCATCCATGATGACATTAATGCTGTGACAGACTCTCCTAGCTGAACTGTGCATTTTGTCGTAATTACTTATAACATGAATATGTGAATCTATACAGATCTACACGTGTGTACGGATATGTTCATCCTAGCAACTGCAAAGCACACGTCGTGCCAGGATTGCAGGATTATATATACAGAACATAGTACATAGTGCGCTATTATCATGAAGACGCACACACGCACACACACACACACACAGTCATGTAATATGTATTCATTATATTCATAAAGTATACTCATAACATCTTACGAATGCTCTTCGTGTATACTTAATACACATGTATACTCCTATATGTATATGCTCAATAATTTAAATAATAAAAAATGTACACATTGTTGCGTACTCAATCACAACGTGATAAATTGAATAACGCAATACGCTAACTATTGCTGCGTTCACACGAGGATTTTAGTTCCGTATTTAAGCGTTCACACGCTAAAATATACGCGGCTTGCTTAGCCGGGATTGCTCCGGCTTTGCTTAGCGCGGAATCATATTCCGCGCAACTAAGGCGCGCGTAT